TCGCCCTGGGGACCGAGTGTCTCTTCAGTAGGGAGACCCGTGAGGACATGACTCCTGCCCCGGGCAGGACAGCGGCCACCACCGATTACAACTCCTCTGAGGCGACCCGCTCGGAGGGGACGCGGGTGACATCCTTTCTGAAGATGTCAGAAACGACGACATCCCAACAGGAGGAGGGAAAGGGCCAGGAGGAAGAGGAGGAGGAGGAAGAAGAGGTGTCGGACTACAGCTACGAGACCGGGGAGCTGCAGCAGAGCTGGCTGGAGGACTCCATCAACTGGCAGAGGACGTTCAGCGTCAGCTCGGTGGACTTCGAGCTCCTGCGCTCCGACTGGAATGACCTGCGCTGCAATGTGTCGGGCAACCTGCAGCTGAGCGAGAGCGAGGTCGTCGACGTGGTGGCACAGTACATGGAGAAGCTCAATGAGAAGAATGGAGGGTAGGGAGGGAGCGGGGCATGGGCAGGAGGTTGGGAGGAGATGCCTTTGCCCCGCTTGGCTCCTTGGGGCTGAGTGAGTTGGGGCGGGGTTCAGGCCAACCCTACGAGCAAGGGAGCTGTGGGGACCAGAGCTCACAGTGACGGCGCTTTCAAGTGCGGCTCCTTTCCCCGTAGCATCTACACCCTCCTGAGGATCGTCAACGTGGAGAAGCGTCGGGACACGGCCCGGGGGAACCGCTACCTGCTGGAGCTGGAGCTGGCAGAGCGGGGCCAGCAGACGGTGCGGCTCTCCGAGTACGTATACGTCCTCTTGCTCCAGGGCAAGCAGGACGACAGCGCCGAGGCCAACCCCGAAGGGCCGGCCCTGGGGGCCACCGAGCCCCAGCCGAGCACCTGGAGCATCCTCTACGGAAGACCTGTCCTGTGCCGGCCCCTGCGGCTCAGCTGGAAGCAGGATGTCATGGTGCACTTCGTGGTACCTGGTAGGTGACAGCAGAATGCGTCTCTCCGGGGTGTCTGCTGCTCCCTCTGCCCTCAGCATCCTCCAGCGGGAGGAAGGCAACCCCTTCGCTCCCCGGTTGCATCCTCCAGGCTGGCCCAAGGGCGATGAGGTTCTCTCCTCTCATGAGATGCTGAGGTTACTGCTTCTCATCAGAAGGGGTGTTGGTTTGGTTGGGGAGGGGGTGCTCTTGGGACCCCGCGATGAGCCTGAGGGACGTTTGTGGCTGTGTCTGGCAGTGAAGAACCAAGCCCGCTGGGTCCAGCAGTTCATCTCGGACATGGCCCGCCTGTACGGGGCTACGAAGGATGCCAACTTCAACGTCATCCTGGTGGACTTTGACAGCGACGACATGGATGTCGAGAAAGCCCTACAGGATGCCCGACTGCCCCGGTAAGCCACCCCGCACAAGCTCCCGGTCCCACCCTGCTCTCCCTGAGGCTGCCTCAGGGGGTCTGCGGGGCTCCCCGCGGTGGGACGGGGCCGTCCTGGTGCTGGCACAACCTCCTGCTCCTTCCCCAGCCCGGCACGGGGCTCTGCCTCGCTGCCCCCTCCTCCTCCTCCTTTCTGGGTGTTTAAACTTGTTTCCCAGGAGGAGACGGGGATGCAGAAACCTCCTCTGCCTCCGTGGGGGGACCCTCGGCATGAGTTGTAGGCGCTGACCCCCTTCCTGAGCAGGTCCCCTCTCCTTGCTGATGGTCCCTGACCCCCTCTTGGCTGTGTCCCTTTTGGTCACCAGCACCGATCCCCTGTCCTCTCTCCTCAGCTACCAGTACCTGCGGCGTACGGGGAACTTCGAGCGCTCGGCCGGGCTGCAGGCTGGCGTGGACAACGGTCGAGGTGAGCCGGTGGAGAGGAATCGGCTCTCGCCTTGGCTTCTCTCCCGGAGCTGTTTCGCCCTGATCCTCCCGCCTGTGTCTGTTCCTCCCCTCCCAGGACGGTCACAGCATCGTGTTCCTCTGCGACCTGCACATCCATTTCCCCCCCAATATCCTGGACAGCATCCGGAAGCACTGCGTGGAAGGGAAGCTGGCCTACGCGCCCATCGTCATGAGGCTGACCTGCGGCAGCCCCCCGCGGGAGCCCAACGGTAAGGGGGGTCCCGTCTGCCGTGACGCTTTTCCGGCTGGAAAACGTCCCCCGCCTGCCCCGGGAGAGCTGCGGCGCTGGGTTTGGGTCCCAGCTGGGCTCAGCTGTGCGGGGAGGATGGGTTCGTTTTGCTCTGGCAAAGATGGGATTCAAGCCCGAGGGTGCTTGAGGCGCGCTGGGTGTGATGCCCCCCCAAAACCAGTCTGTCACCAGTGCACCCCCACGGGAGGTGGTGGTGGTGGTGGGGACAGACCCGTGGTGGGAAGAGGGGTTGGGATGGGGCGTTCTCGTGGCTCCCAGGTCGGGGGGAGAGCGCAGAGGTGATGGCTGGGGATTTGGGGGTCCCCCTGCACCATTGGCCTCATTGCTCTCCCTCCTCCAGGCTACTGGGAGGTGAACGGCTTCGGCCTCCTTGGCATCTAACAGACGGACTTAGCAC